AGAGTCAAAGTCGAACCAGCTTGCACTTCGAACGAGTTCACCACTCAAACGACTTATCACCTCGCACCAGGCATCGAAACACATCCAAACGATCTATTCAAAACACAACGGAACGGTCGGTCACCTTGCTTGTCTCATTCCTCGTACACCGCTTCTCCACTCACTCAACCTGCTCACCTCTTCGCTCACACACTCAACAGCTCGATTCTCCACTCACTCCACCGCTTGCCCCTCCGCTCGCTCAACTGCTCGCTCCTGCACTCGCTACGCTGCTCTCCCCTTCACTGGCTCGGTTCTCCAATCGCTCGTTCGCTCATCGACTTGTGCTTGTATCTAACCAACCCCCTCCTCTTCTGTCCTTCTTCAATCGCGGTGTCCCATGGCCGATCAAAGGAGAAACCAAACTAACAAACCTGGTAAGTATATCAAACTGTCTCATCGCTGCTCTACACCGTTCGCTTTCTGACACCATTGTTCTCTTTGTCTCTGTACCTTCACCTCCACAAACGAATCGTTTGGACCACTCCTCATCTGATCGTTGTTTGAATCGCGAACTGGATTCGTTAACAACCTGTCATCCCAGGATCATTGTCGTCTGGAGCATGCAACTCTTTGGCAGGTCAGTATTTGGCTCTACATGATTTGATTGTTACTCATTCAACTATCAACTCAACACTGATACATTCTCCTTCTCTCACGTTTACTGAATTTTATAGGAGTTCCGATTGGTACACCTTACCATCAAAACAATCGACATGGTGTTGTAGGTGCTACGTTATCAAGCCAGCCTCGGCCATCAGGAATGCTGCCATTTTTTCTTCAAACAACACCAACACCTCAATGGTTGCCATTGCACACACAAACTACGGTGAGTCCATTGTTCTTCTTAAGGCCAACATCTATAAAGATATGTCAAGCAAACCAAATTCTGACTGTCTTCTGTACTTATTTACCCTCCTTCACCTCATCACAGTCCGATACACTCAAAACACAGTCTTCCGTTTCAATCCAACAACATCAACCACCGTTTGGCCCTCCTCACTGGTATTGGAGGGCTCCCCCCACGCCCATTGTTTAGCCACCCTGATGGTGTTGCTCCCCGGCCATTAAGACCCTGTGCTTCATCCACCCCATCCCCAGCTTTCTTAATCAATGGAAATCAAACAAACCGACATCCAATTACCCGTTCAGCTCCTCAAAACACACACTCCTCTATCCACCATTCCGCCTCAATTCCACACTCCTCCCTCTCCAACAACTTTTTGACTTCTGCACCACACTTTACAATCAACCAACCACCGATCAACAACCCCTCTCTCACCCAGGTACCAACATATTATAACCAAAACCTTCACCAACAATCTGTCACCTCAAGCCACCCAGCCTACACTGGATTCTACGGTCAGGCTGCTCCAATGAACTTACACGGACATCAAAACACATTACCGGTTGCATCATTGCACTCAGACATCAACAGGTGAGTTTCTTGTCCACATTTTCTCCCAGCAGCTCTTCACATTATTTGAATTCTTATTGTTTCTCTCCATCAGTTTTCAAGGTTCCGTAATGTCAGATACACACACCAGCAACCCGCCATCTCTCCACCTCCCACTCATTCCATATCACACAACCTCACCTCAACAACCATTTCAAATCCACTTCCCTCCAGATCTTTCCCAACCAAACTGTGAGTAATCTAATGAATCTGTTTCTATTCTACCAGAGAAACCTGAGATTGCTAAACCCAATTTTGTACTCAGCTGCCAACCACTTTGATACAGTGCCTTATCATCAGCACCACTCTTCAATTCATGAATCATACACTCTTTCTTCTACACCGTTCATCCCAATTCATCCATCACAAGATGCCGGTAGACTATCGAACCGTTTGGAGTGCTCTGCCGTTATTCCATTTTCACAAGCACCTCGATCTGAAAACCACCCTTATTTCATGTCTGGGTTTGTATTTTTCTGTCTCACACCTCTTCAGCTTTCATTCCTACTATTCTCCTCTTTCTATATTTTTCTGGGGGCAAGCATCATTTGCACCCAATTTCCTCTCTCTTCTTTATTCTGTTCTGGGGGCAAGCATCATTTGCACCCAATTTCCTCTCTCTTCTTTATTCTGTTCTGGGGGCAAGCATCATTTGCACCCATCTTTCATTTTTTATTTCATTTTTCTTCTCTCATCTCATCTGTAGGAGCGGGCTGGGGGCAAGCATACTTTGCACCCACTCACTCACTTCTACAGTACCCCATCTCCCACCACACCACCCCCTTCCTCATTTGTTCAAACCAAAACTGACTTCCCAAATCTTTGAATCTGTTGTCCAGCTCCAGAAATAGAACCCGTCCTGGCAGGGCCTCCAAGCGTTGGGCCAGATTCCGCGAAAAGGCTGAATCCTCATTCATTCTTCCCGCCAACGATGGTGAATCAACTCCAACACCTGAAGTAGATGAAACAATCACCACCGCGGGCCCTTCCAACAAACCCTTCTATTACTTTATACCACCAAGCCGTCAACATGACCCAAACCCCTCCGAAATCCTCACTTCCCAAGAGACCCTCCTTTCGCACTATACTGGCCTCTCTCATGGAACCTGTGTCATCGCCCCACGAAACATGCCAGCCTTTTGCAAATTCAAAACAACTCCCTTCTCCTCCATGTCGTCTGAGGAGCTTCAAGGTTGGGAAAAACTGGTTTGCTTTTTTCTCCAACAAACCGAATATGTGGCGCCAGTGAAAAACAACGGACCTTCCATGGGCGGTATAATGTGGGCCTGTGGGTGGCGGAAGAGCTCAAAAAAAAAAGAAGGTTTTGGAAGATATTGTTCTGTCGAACGGCTGGCTGCTATGATCAGGAGGTCTCAATTTAACGCCAAGGACGAGGCTTCTGCGTTTGAAGAGGCTAACAAATGGATTGCTACACACCTCGAACAACTTGCTCCCCGTGCATTCAAAGAGTATCGTGAAGCTCTTATCGATGGCCAACTCCCTTCAATGGCTCACATGGAATATCCCTCCCCTTACACCATGTTTGACTTTGCCTCTTTCTTCACTTTCACTATGTACAACTTCTACAACGAACCCCACAAGGATACTGACGTCAACAACTGGACCCTAGTCTGCTGGATTCCAATCTTCAACCCTCAAAACTGTAAAGACGATAATCCGATTTTAGCTGATGAGGGCTTTGACATGATTGGTGGTCAGTTTACTTTTCGTGATTTTCAGGTCTATATTGACTTGAATGAAGTTGTAGGGGTCACCATGTGTGTCTTCAGATCCCAGGAAGAAGTTCATCAGACCTTGGATGGTGCTTCACCATCTGACAAGTATACAAGGATTGGTTTCTCTTGCCAGATGTCTCAAAAAATGTCTAAAGCTGTTGTTGAATACATTAACTCTGATACTAAAATAGCTGGCCAGAAGGTACAAATAGAGGAAGCTGAAAAACGTATTGAAAAAGAGAATAAAAAAAAAAAACTTAAATGAATGAGCTACCTTCTGTGTTCTTATCTTTGGTTTTTTTGGCATAATTGTTTTCTTCCAATTTCTGCTTTTTTGACTTTAGCTTATGTTTGTTCTAATTTCTTTTTTCTCCGATTTCTCTATGATTGCACTTCTCAATTTCTTCAGTCATAGGTACATATTTCATACTACAACCACTAACCTCAACTAAGTTTCAATACTGCTTTTCCGCTCTTCTTCAATGCTCTCAATTCACTTCAATTTTTTATAAAGATCGGTCTGAAAATATGTGATGCAATGACTGTTTGTCATAGCACCATCACCTAAATATTTCAAAGGTTACAAAATACTCAAAATCTGCTCTCTGCATACCCCAAATTGAGCTTTGGTTTTCCTGACAATCCTGCAGTGATATGTATGCATATCCATACAAATAATCTGATTTGCAGTTGCCATGAAACAAATTATTAGTGCATAAACTATCTATCAGGCTCTTTACATGCCAACAGAAATTATGTGATAGAAATAAGATTATTTACATTTACCAAAATTATGAGTGTTTGCTTTCATGTGGTAATCCACTGGGAAGTTCACCCATGCAACTCACGATCAATTGGGTTTTTGCACATTGGAACATCTGGTATTAAGCACTTTCGAGAAACATCAAGAAGCCAAATCTGAAAACATTCAGTGTTTATACAATTTGGTAGTATGGCTAGAAACTATTTTTATTTGATTTTTTGAAACAAGGTGCTACTTATACTCTGCAGTGCTGTTCAAAGACCAGTTGATAAGTTAACATTTTCATGGATCAAACCAATCCTTCAAGTCCATTACATAATACACACCAGAAAATAGTTGGTTAAATTTATAATAATCTGACCCATGTACTAGCATAAAAATCACGTATCTTTTGCCAACTGCTTGATCCAAATGCCACTGGAGAAACTCCAAATATGGTAAGTGATTGGTATGTGCAGAGCCAAAGTAAAACAGATAGATTCATGTTTAAATGGCAAAACCAAGCCAATAATATGTAAAATTCAAGCATATGAATAACCACATGGAAACCATGTCTGTTGCCTTCAACCAGTGGAATATATACTTACCAGCTGTTAGAATATGGATAATTGTTTGATGTATTGAGCTATTTAAAAATCTCATTTTTACTAAAAACCAGACCTGATGCTTGACAATGCAGATTTTGTTCTAGAAGAGTTCCAATTGTGTATATAGTCAAGTTGAAGATTGTTCCAAGTTGAATTCAACCCATTTTCAATATGAATTCAGATAAGTTGATCATATAAGTTCAGCATGAATTCAGCACAAATTCAACATCAAATGAGGGTAAGGTTCTAGGAGACATCTGACAGGGTTCCAGATGAATACTACGCGATGGCACTTGAAAGCAGGTGCTGAGCAAACTCCCCTGGTGGGGACAACTCAACAGGACTGAATTTGGATTGACGTCGATGGTGAAAAATTTGGATCCCACTCGGCCAGTTAACTCTGTTTCAGGCTTCAACGGTAGGCCGAACATTCAATCCTCAGAAGCTTTTGTCCGTTGGGAGTCTGACTGGAATATCGCCTCATTTTGATCATATCTTTTGTGACTTCGTGTTACAGATTTTGGCGCCGGTGACTTTCATGATAATCACCACTATCGTAAGCAATTTTCTTTGCGATAGTAATATCCGAACTGACTGTTTTTTCTTTTTCCTTCTTGTAGCATTTCCTCAGTGTGGAGCACCCTTCTACTCTCTGCCATCAACACCCCATGACCCAACCAGAATTGCAGTTCAGGGAGAGTTCGGCGGGATCGGGCACATCCCCGGTCGTCAAAATCTTTGGAACGTACAAAGTCAGCTTGACACTTTGAATCAAACTTTCGAAATCACATCTACCATCGAGATTTGGAACTACAGAGCTACTCGCTTCATAGAGGATCTGAGGGATCAAGCGCGATTCTTTAGCTGTAGTGGTGGAATATACACTGTTAGCACTACGTTTCACATGGAAGATTGAACATATCGTCTGACCACCTTGTTTCATCCACACTCTTATAGCAAACCACTGACGTAGAGGGAGAAACCAATGGATTACTCACTGTAAGCGGCCCTCAGCAATTTTTTGTGTCTTACCATGAACAAGAAGCTGAAATTTTGATTTCAACCCAGTACGATTGCAGGCTTCTCCAACCCAATATTCAAAGATGGCAGAGACTGATCTCAGAAATATATGCTGCCCCGCATCAAGCCACTGCTGCATATGCGGCCTCCACAGTCAAGCCAGTCAAATTCTCAGTCACCCTTGCAAACCAATGAGGTAGGGGTTCTGGAAGTCAATCCGTCTTTTTCTAACCCATTCCACCAGACTTGGGTTAATTTACTTTCTTATCTTTGAGGTTTTCTTTTTATTAATCATACCTTTTCATTTTATTTCCACTTTCATCATTGCTTTTTTTTTTCTTTATCAATCTTCTTTTTCCCCTATTGCTTCTCTTATATCATAAATTGTCCTTTGTCATGCTTTTTGGCTAGCTGATTCAAGCAATTCAACCCTACTAAGGAACTCGTGGCGGTATCAAATTATGCCAATTTCTTTCAATTAGATCTGAGCAAGAATTCCTGTGTGTTTTATCACCTGTGGAAAGAATAAATAAATAAATGATGTTGCAATATCTTGTAACATGAGGTAGTATAGATGCTGAGAAAAATCTCTTTTCTATAGTAAAGTAAACTAACTCTCATTTTTTGTAAACAATTCACATAAATTTCATTGCTGTTTTGAACATGTAATAATGGTGGGGAATGGACTGGGTTGGGTCAGAGTCATGAGCTGGTTCAGTGGAAAATTGGTGGTGTTTAATGAGGAATTGGTACAGATTGGATGACTGGTCTCTAAGATTGCCGGCTGCTCAAACTGGGCCTGGGCCTTGTGAATGTGAGTCATGAGCTGCAAAATTAAATGGGCAACCCATGCTCTACCCTATGTCCTGAAAAATGACTAATGCAAAGCCATTTGGAATAAGTATTATGGATGACCAAATATTTTAGGAGAGTAAATATAATTTTGGATATACGCACATACTTGGCACATTTAATTAGGCTAATAAATTGGATTAGATAGTTCCCTTCTTCCAATTGATTACAACTCCATACTAATTAATTAAGATTTTGATATATCACTTATTCACTAATACCCTGATTATTCCCAATTATGTGTAGACAGAATATTTGGTTCTTTGAATCATTGATTTTACTGCAGGTATTAAAACAAACGAATGATTTTTCAATTCTATAATTTCTATAGATCCATGATGAAATTCCTTTGGATTGTGAGAGGACAGTTCATGTCTGAACTTTAAGGAAATTTTGTGGCCTTTAACATTACAATTTAACAAGGTTTTCAAAAACATCAAACTGCTCTAAAACCGACAATTCATGAAATTTGACAAAATTTGTAAAATCTTATCTTAAAATTTTCTTGATTTTGCCTTGAATGTGAACAGGCCCATAAAAAGAAAGCAAAAATGCTTGAAATTTTCTGCCTAAAAATCAACACAGCATAAAATTGAGAGTAATCTTGGAAAAATTGCTGTAACCAGTCATACCAGCTTGTTTGGACAGTTGCTGTTTTCATTTGCTGCTATCCAAGATAACTTGACAAAACCACTCTGCGTCCTCCAGGACCCACTGAAACAGTGTAATGACATCTTGGACATTGATATATTACCCCTCCAGGTATATGTGACCCAGAAAGTTTGTTCATGTACCCTGAATCACACCTGGGGTCTTCACATCTGACTCTAGCAAATGATGAACCCCCACTGGACTGGATGACAGGCAATGCATAAATTTAGGGTATTATTCTTTTTCCAAACTGAACTAGAGATTTCTTACACTAGCTTCTCCACCTGGTCCTGGGCCATAATTCTGAGGTTTTATAGGTGCTACCAGTTTTGGATCAAACTTTTGACAAACTGGAAATTGAGCATATGTCCCCTGCCCATACCTCTTCCATGTCTCTATGCAATATGTATGATATAAATGCTTGCAGGTATCCCATTTCTTTATATTTCCACTCAATTCATCCTGGCAAATTGCACATATCTCAGGGGAACTCTGCTTGTCAATTCATTAATCACCCCTCAGTTAATGGAAAATCAGATTTATAACCTTCTTGTATAATAGAAAACCACAAAAAATGACTCACATCCCCCACCATACGCTTTTTGAGTTGAATACCAGACTTCAGTAGAGCATTTTCACCCAAAGAAGCTGGAAAGTTGATAAAAAACCACTCTTATTTAGTTTTTCTTGTCTTGGATGATTCTGTGGATAAATGTAGTATTGACTTACTAATTTGATTGACTGCATGGATAGTTGAGGTTTCAACTATTACTTGAAAGATCTTGCAGTTCACATAATTAGTGATTAGTATGTATGTCCTGTAGCAGCCCAGTGTCTATTTAAGCAGAGTCAGAGGAATATCTGACCATTGTTGCCACCAATTTGGAAATTAACTGCATTTCTTCAAGAAAAGATAAAGATGCCAGGTAGCTGGAACTGTTCAAAAACCTCTCAGGGGGTTGCAGTTTGTGGAATCAAGCTCGCATGGGGAGATATATATTGAAGAGTAACTCCTTAATGTGTCCAATTGACCTTTTTTTCATTTGTGTTGCAGTAAGAATAAGTTAAACTTGTGCACAGGCCAAGATTATCATAGTATGAACATCTGTTTTTCAGCAGTGACATAACTCTATACTCACCGCAGCTCCAGAAGATTGAATTCGAGCCTGATAAGAGGATGGGTCGGGCCAACTCGGAAAACTCTCAACGCGCCTCGGCGCAGAACTGAATAGGGCAAGGTAAGATTTTGAAAAAGTTGGAGTCTCCCCGGAGCGGTCCGATCCAAGGGCCTGCGGTGTAAAACAGTATATACTATACCTGGTGGGATATACAGAATGGTTTTTTTGGGTTATGACTATGATTGCGCGGGCATGCTACTCATGATTGACACGGACAAGCTGGCCGAATAAAATGCTCACTCAAGATCAAGGTGGGGTGTCAAAGAGAGTGCGCTCATGTGTAGCCTGTACATAAAATATGTGAACCCTGAAAAAAGGTCCTTTGGCGGTAGGAGATATGCCAATGCGGGTTTGGCCCCTCTTGGGCTAGACCCCGGCGGGGATGCCGAGGAAGGGGCTTTGTTACCTAAGCTGTGTAGCCTCTGGGACTGGGGCTCTCTGGGTGCGCTCACGACTCACGAGTCTCGAGTAGTGGTGCCAAGTCAAGTTCTCCCAATCAACACCATCCTCCAACAGCCAATCACAGGACTTTGACGTTTTCGTATATTCCGACGAAGGTTCGACCATCATCCTCAGAACAATGTCGCTGCTCAAGAACTGCGTGGACCGCTGCTCAACTTCAGTTTATAAATTGACCACATCGACTCTCAAACATTCTCCTCGGATCAGTCTATTCAATCGTTCACCTCATCGGCCATACCATCATTCTTCATTGGTTGGCGAACTTCGTATCAAGCAACTCAGAAGCTCCTCGCCGTATCTAGCTCCAAAAAATCATCCATCAATCTTAAGACATGGTTCGTTTTTTATTACTTGGTTTGCCTCTCCTCATTTCTCCTGGGTCTGCTGCTCGTTCGAGATTCGAAACCTGATCGGCTGATTTCCAAAATCTATCAAAATATCAGCTCGATCAATTTTCATCCAAACGGAACCTACACCCAATGCGGATGCGTTGAAGTTTATACCAGGCAGACCGGTAATGAAGAGTGGAAGCCGAGAATTTCTTAAAGGCGATGATACCCGATCGTCGCCACTAGCACGATCGCTACTATCGGTTGAAGGCGTCAAATCGGTATTTTTCGGGCCCGACTTTATCAGTATCAATAAAGAAAGTGAAGTGGGCTGGCCGACGATGAAGCCAGAAATTTACAGCCTCTTGATGGAATTTTTCAGTGCAAGTGATCGACCGGTTGTACAAGAAGGCCCGATTGAAGAAGAGTCTGGTCCACTTGACACCCGGATTCATGATGACGATAGTGAAGTTGTGGCGATGATCAAAGAGCTGTTAGATACACGGGTCAGACCTGCAATCCAGGAAGACGGTGGCGATTTGGAGTACAAGGGTTTCAATGAAGAGACCGGGGTTGTTCAATTGATGCTTAAGGGTAGCTGTCGGGGATGTGATAGCAGTGCAGTGACTCTCAAGAGCGGAATTGAACGGATGTTGATGCATTATGTACCGGTCAGCTCAAAATCATCTTCGCGTTTCTATCAACACAATCCAATGCTTACTATCTGGGATTACTGACATTTACCCTGACTAACCATCAATTTTCCAATACATTCTTTTCTTTCTTAGGAAGTGCAATGTGTAGAGCAAGTGCAAAGTGAAGAGGAAAAAATGGCTGAAGATGAATGTATGTATCCAACTATCTTTTTCTTACTCTGATTGGGAGCTAATATTTCATATGTGACCTGATTTAATTTCATGTAGTTGCTAAGTTTGAAGCTCGTCTCAGAGGAGGTGGAAAAACAGTGGATATATAATGAGAAGCATAATACACAGTTCAATCATATTTTCATCATGATTCACGTCACATCATGATTTGTCTTGATCTCCTTTGATCTGTATGCCTAGGTATAGAAGCATTTTCAGCTTGCTGCATCACATTTTCTCCGTTCTTAATTGTTCATCATCTTTGATTTGCATGTGTGTATATTCAATCCCTCTCATTCAACAGGTGACAACAATCTCATTTCAAACAAATAGCACCTGATAGATTTTATCCACAAGCTTGAATTCATCATTTTTCAGGAGTCTATGTTCAGAGTGTATTAACACAAAAATTATGTATCATACACAATCAGTCGGCTTCCTCATGAGATTGCCAATTGGTCTTGGTCAAATCTGCCTGCAACTCTTCAACTACTGAATGACTGGAGGACTTCCCGTCGGATCTGGGCCCCTCCCAGAAGTCGATCTAGAGCGGAAAACTTTTAATCCTCGCAGGGAGATTTGAATTTCGAGGCTCTAAATTGGCTCTGGGAGACCCGCAGATGTTGACGGGAAGTCCTCCACTTACCAGCAGAAAAAACCATAAAAATAAGTCCCAGATTCCAATTTTGGCCATCTACAAGCCCCCAGTGGATTTTGTAGATGTATAATTTGTGTGGATACTAGATCTAGTTGTTATTAGAGGTCATCCACTTGAAGTTGTACAGGAATTTGTCCACTTCAATCACCCATTTCTTCCTTTTCTCCACCATCCAAATTGCTGTCCACTTCCACTTTTTCACCTACAATATTTATGATTGAAGGCACATTGCTACTTCATACCATCATCCATGTTTTACACTAGTGTGATATTTGATTTCTACCTCAAACAATCTCCTTCCTCTGCAAATGAATGTGCTCCTGCTATGTGCAATTGTCAAATCAAGTTGTGAGAGAAGCAAAATTGAAAGGGGAATTTTCCTGTAGGGAAGGCTCTTATAAGGAGCCGTGAAAAAAATGTGAGAAGAAATGAAAATCAATAGAGGAATTTGACTAATTTTCATTTCCAGGAAGATGGTAAAACACAGAAAAGAGCACATCAAACAAAGGAGATTGGAAGTAATATCCCCAACCATACAAATTTGAGTGGGAAAAAAGTAAATGGAACTTGGGAGTCAACAAATAATACCAATTGGATTTAAAGCAGCAGGTCTTAATTAATCATAAATCCCCAAACTTATTCAACATTAGATCATGAATATGTGAAATCCTCTTTTGTAATTTTGCAAAGTAGCGTCCCTAAGATTCTTTGCATAACCAAGTAATTGATGAGTAAAAATGTTATATGTTTCATAGATTGCCCTCTTTTTTCTATCTTCTGATAATTGATACCAGATTTTCTTCATCCACTTTGCTCATATTTAAGCGGCTGTCGGGCATCATGACTGAATTTAAATTCTTGATGAGAACACCTCAAGAAGTAAAGTTCAGTAATTCACTGACAAAAAAGAAGGCATGTCATGAAAGCTTCAAGTGATCACATAGGATGTTTGTAAATACGTTTTACACTTTTTTTCGCATTCAGACTTCTCTCTTAATACCAACACAAATTCACATTGATTTTTTTTTGTCACAAAAAAGTGTTGAAAACTAGCTAATATGTAAATTGGGGAAATCAATGAGGGTTAGGGTGGGTTCTGAACAAGAGGTGTTTATCTGATTTCACGCAAGCTCTACATGAATCGTGTGTTCAACAAGCCGATAGTGCTGTGTATTTTAGAGCTAAAGCTCTCCAATGGAAATGGAAAAGACAGAAATATGGGAGGAAAAGTGTATCAAGATTCATAGGATCCTCAGCGTAACAGTTCCGTGTGCTTTGGTTCGTCCGTTACTAAGTCGTGCTATTGCCGTGAAAGTCCTTCTGAGAATTCTTAGGAGAATGAGGGGTTGATTTGGGATCCCCGAATAAGAAATAGCGAGACAAAACATCTTGTAACCGCGACGCGTTAGCCTTCAAACTTCTTCACTTCATGTAAGTTTGCAAGCGTAAGCCAACTTCTTGCAATGGCCATTTGAAATATTTTCTTTCCGAGGAAGTTATAGCTGCGCTGAGTGAGAGCAAGAACGAAATTCGTGAAATCCGGATCACTTGAATCATGACGTCCTTAGCAAGCACATAAGCCAGCTTACATACCTGCGCCCAATCCATCGGTCTCACCTGAATTCTTCTTCGGATAACCGCTGTGTTTTTTTCCTGGGACGTTCGGATCAACCTGCAACGGGTTTGAGAATCCGTGAGCTTGACAAAATCGGTCGACTGTTCTTCGTGCGCGCGGCGGTAATTCTGGCTCCATTCTCTCCGGGCGAGTGGTTTCACTAGGAGAAGCTGGCAGATCGGAATTCTTCGGTCCAGCACGAATCTTGGCTTTAACTTTCTTCATGAGTGATGAGCTCGGTAACTCTGAGGTCTTTTGAACTTCTTCGTTACGCGAAGGTTGGGTTGGAGCTTCCTCCACCATTTTTCTAAACTTCGGCCACGAACGGGAAGACATTATTCCCATTGAGGGGAATCAACGCAAAAAAAAAACGAGGCTCTCTACACAATTCACAGTATGGTTATGAAGATGAAAGCTAGCTTAGTGAGATGGTTTGGAGTAAAGCACACGAGTCGAACGGGCGTCCTCTGGGTTAGTTTTGAAAGTGCTTTCGACTATATAATGTTATAGTATGATTTATTGCGGAAGAAGAATTTTAGCCTTCTCTTTATCCTTAGTTTTGAGCGTATATGATCACGAGTGACAAGTTAAATTCGGACCTTAGAGGTCATAATACTGCCTATTGATCACCCATTCTGATTAATGGGCTTGGAATAGTACCATTTTTTTGATCACCTATCTTGATTAACAGGAGTAATATGGACGTTTAGGTATGTTGTTTCTGCCAACTTGTATATGTTTGGTATGCTATCAGCTTACTTGAAATTTTGATATTTCGAGTCTGAAAGGAATTTGGTACAGAGCAATACACTGAGGACAAAACTATCTCTATGACCATGGTTGATACCCCTTCTACCATCGCACCCAAAGACACGATCAAGGGAAAACAGATCACCACCACCTCATCAATCATCATGTACCGTGACCCCATTGATCTAAACACACAGCAACAGTTATCTGATATCTGTGCCCTGCGAAGACGAGATGCAAATTATCCGACCAGTACAGCCAATCTCGGAGCTGTCTGATATAGCAACAGTCTGTTGATGGTTCAAGTCAACGGTCCAGGATTTCAAGATTTGTGATGCCCAAAGTCATGTTCTCACGAAGGGAGAATCCAGACAAAGAAACATGGCAGGAGACCATCGCAAAGGAAACCCAGGTTCAAGTCAAGACAAACACGCCGGAGGATTGGAGATCATGAGGGGGTGGTCTAAATCGAGAAAAGCGCGTCAGCTTTGTAGCATCAATCCACGCGCCTGGCAAAGAGTTTTTTCTATAAAACATGACTCAGAATGATTCCAACAAGTGGTTTGCACCCAACGTGGTACGGATTGGTACAAAAATTCAAAGCCGGTGCTACCAATTTTGAAATTACTGCACAGCCGGCTTTGCCCAGTATAGTATCATTAAAATGACTCCTATTTCCAGTTCCTTAACTGACACCACTACTCTTGTTTACACTTTTTGGCCGCTTCAGAAACTGATTGAAGACGAGTACGCTGAACACCAGAAAGCCTAATTGGGCCTAGTCAGAATTTTTCAAATGCTAAAAACTCTTCATCATTTGGTCTGAATTCGTGGTTCAGATTTTTGTGACATATCAATGTTTTCGGAAATCAGTGATTGTCCTAGGACATGCTATGGAGGATCCCCAGCTTTCTTAAACCCAACTGAATCAACTTGTGATGATGCTAACATTGGATCTGAATCATTTTTTCCCCTTAATATTCCTTGAGATCATCTGTATTTTAGCCGTGCTTGATATTGTCTTAAGTCCCAATTGCTCAACTTTTGATTCCAATGTTTCCTGCCACATCTTAATTCATGTTTTCAACCATTTTTGATGATTTGTTTTCGAATCAGATGGACGACAATGAAAATAGAGATGGAGGATTTGTGAGGGTGACTCTTCAAACATACAGTACAAGAGGGTTGAAAGCCAAAAATGCAAGAATCTTATAAATGTTTAATAGTAGTCTCACTTGGGCCATTTCCATGAGTCATTTCTCTGTGTATAAACAGCGCAACAGACACCAGAACATTAGAGTCAGCGATCCCAAATCCTTACTTAAAAAAACAGGATTTGAAAGGTGAGGCTTCGGGCCCCACAAAAAGCACTGTATCCATTGGGGAAGAGTACCGTACGGGAGACCTGGTTGCTGGTTTCATGGCGGGGAGAGTGATGTCAACGCGATGTTTGGAGGGGAGTGTCGAATGTTCTCAGCGGATGCTTGAGCTCAGGATGTTCTCCCGTTGTCGGTGGGTAGGGTTTTGATATAAATAAAGATGAATGGATTCATGTTGAGCATGGTGATGTATTAATTGGAGAAGGGGTTTGCAAGGACTTCTTGAGCCAGTCTCCAGTTGAGTGACTTTGGCCGGGCGCCTGGCGGGACATCTGACGATGACCACTTCGCAATGAACCCAACCGGAACAACGACAACCACAACAGCTACCACCGTCATCGCTCCGACTGAAGATGTTCCGATATACTCGAGGGAACGCCTTGCCGGTCTCCACTCACACCTCGATCTGGTTAATGCTCTAACTCATCTGGGTACGTATGTCTCCAATTCAGAGTTTCCTGGTTTGGGATATCGATGGGCTGATAGGGTTGCATGCACGGCTCGTATTCCAGAATCGATCGAATGCCAAGTTGACCAATCACTTTCCAAGCTACTATCTTCATCAGATAGGATCGACTCTGCCCTCAATACGATTGGTGAAATCGAACCGATCGTCAGGGACCTTTCAGAAGATGCTTCAGCTCTACACGAAGTCGTAATCGAACGAGCTGAGGTCGCTGAGAGAATATCAAGCAAGGTTCGTGTGCTGGATTTGGAACAAAGCCGAGTCAAAGATTGTATCGACCGCGTTCAATCGGCCGCAGAGCTCAAGGATGCATTCCATCAACTTTTTCAAGCCATCGAATATGCTGATTGGGAGGCCGCAACTCGGCATGTCCAACGGGCTAATGCAATCGATCGGGGCTTCCTCACCAGTCATTTCGTGGAAGCCGTTGTGGTAAGCCCAAAGTTGTCGATTTCTTTACTTTCATTCCAATATGTATTAATCATTCATGATTTTCTATTCATCCCTGGGCAGCCGACAGCTAATATCCCTGAACCGCCGGCCATCGCATTAGAAAACTTGATCATCCAGCTTACTGAAACCTTTCTCAAGTCTTTTAACGCGGCTGCTCAAGTGAAGGATGAAGCTGCAACAACACGTTTCTTTAAACTATTCCCACTCCTGGGACCATCTGCATCAGAAGCCGGCCTGGCGGCTTATTCAGATTTTGTTCGCACCCTGATTTCTGTCCCATCATCGATCACTAGGCCAACGGATGGAGCCAAACCAGCAAGCATCGTCATCCAGCTTACCTCGATTGTTGAACAGCTTGCTCTGATCATCGACCAACATCAAGGTGTGGTTGATAAATATTATGGACCGCGGTCGATGGTCACCGTAGCGTTGAAGTTGAACAAAGAACTAGATCGCTTGATGGGTCGATTAATATCTGCATGGGAAACCGATCAACAGCTTAACCGCAAGCTTCTAAGCGTGCAGCGATACTCCTTCGCGGCCCAAAACCAACTTCTTACCGCAAACAATGTCTCCGGATCTTCGAACCCTATCAACTCCCCCGCTGCATTGCACAGCTCCTTGCGCTCGCTTGCTGGCAACGTCCAGCGGACTTATAACCTACCTCAGGGCTCTGCATCCAGTCTTAATTCAACTGCAGTGGCCTCACATGACGAAGATACGGAAGACCCTCGAGAGATCGATTTCCTGATTGCTGAGTTGGCCGGGATGAGTTCGCGATGGCAAACATACCGACGATTTCTACACGTCAGGTTCGGTGATGTTAACCTCAGTGAAGCGCAAGACAGACAAGAACGGTCGGAACAACCAGAATCGCCTGTATCACCCTCCACTATTCCAAAAGAGCTGCATGCCTCGCCGCCCGCGCATGTCAGCAAACAATTTGAGCAACTGGAGCAAACTGAGCTTAGCCGAAAGCTCAGTGATTATCTCGAACGGCTCTATTTACCTCTCGAATCGTGGTATCTCAGAATCAACATTGAAAAGGCTCATTCAGCTGATGAGATGGATTTCAGTGCATCGCCGTACCTTTCCTCTGCCCTGGACGATACGTTCTACATGACCAAAAAGGTGATGCTGAGATTGATGAGCATAGGAAGCGTAAAATGCGTTCGGGCTGGTTTACTTAAGATTGAAGAGATCATTCAAAGAGATTTCGGGGAGGTTATGAAGAGAAGATTGGAAAGTGTGAGTTCTAATCTATCCGCTGGGACGAGTGTTGGATTTGGGATCAAAATCAGCGAGGAGAAAGAAAAGAGAGAAAGATCTGTTCGAAATTCATGTGTCGTGAGCTATCTTTTTTAATTTACTTATTTGAAAGATTAATGATGACCGATTAAACCGTCAATTGCTAATTTGGCGAAATTGTTTGATGGTCTGCTTTATGTTTGGAAGGTATATTTGAATAATTTGAGTATGGCTTCCGAATACGTTGTTCGACTAATCGACGAAGTCACCAACGGTCCAATAATTACCCAAAGCTTTTTCATCCCAATTGAAATAAATGAAGTCAAATCCTGTATGGGGGAGTTGCAAAGGCTTTCGAAAAAATTGACTGGAATTAATAAGGTGATTGGAATATCTGATTTTATCTGTTGTCAATTTCTTTCCACTTCTTCGACTCTTTCGTGCAAGTCTGCCTTATGTTCCAGTTATACTGGCCCCGAATGCTGACTTCTGACGTATTATGATCGTAATTTGTTTCCTCAGAGTGGTTTAGAGCAACTGTTTAATCAATTGATTCGCTCCAAGATTCGGTCAATTCTATCAGACTGTTATAAGGACGTCACGTATGTGTTAGACGATCAATCATATGCAGAAGCCGAGGTTCAAGATCTTTTTCGGAAACGGTTTCAAAAGGCTTGGGAATCGTTAATGGATCCTTATCGGGTTTGTACCTATCTCCTACTTTTGGCATTACATTTCACTTCCTTCTTCTAATTCCCAATGACACGAACCATCATTGTGATATGCTTTTGCTGATATGAACACACCTATGGAATCACGAAAATTGAAAATGGGAAACAACGAACATCTCTCTCTCTCTTAAAAAATAGGACTCTATGACTTCAGAAAACTTCAAAGAATTAATCGGGATGACGGTGAATGTGATTGTAAGGACGTGGGAGAACATGATCAAGAACCAAAGATTTAACGAACTAGGATCAATCAAATTCGATAAAGATATCCGAAGCATCTCGTCGTTCTTATCTAACCAAACCTCGTTTGGGATCTCATTAATCAATGAATCGTTTATCAGGTTGAAACAAATCTCGTCTTTATTGCTTATTAAAAGTCTCGAGGATCATACTGATGGTGATCATCAGAACGAGGATGATGAGCAGGTCTTGAAAGATTTCCTCGTCGCTGAAGATATTAATTGGCGATTGAACATCTCCGAAATTAAAGCCGTTTTAGCTCAAAAAATTTAGTCTACCCCTTTCCTTTCGTTTTTTTTTTTTTCCTTCCTTCATTTTCATTACTCTTGGTTTCATCCTTTCCATCTTCCAGCTTCTTTCCTTCTTTCTTGTGTGAATCCACTTTGTTGTTCTTTTAAATTCAGTTGAATGATAATTCCATAATAGCAATTGAAAAATAGTGGGTTTTCCCTTTTCATCTTCCCAGTCTGCAACAAATGCATAATCCCGGAGTGTTTTCAGGGGATAAAAAAGATCGCACAAGTATACATCGCACTGCTTCATCATACTTCGAAAGCGAAGAAGCCAGCCGCAATCATGGCAGGATCACCGTACATGCCTCAACAGTGAGTCGAACACTGGACCTTTTGCTTACTAGGCAAACGCTCTACCACTGGGCTACTGAGGCTGTGAAGAGAGTCTACGGATGTGAGTACAATGCTTTTTTGCAGGTCCCCGCAATGACTGCAGCCATCAAAGCAAGCTGTTGCATCAGGGAAGTGAGAGCATCTTCATTGAAGTGCGTATTTTTGGGCCCCTATCAAGTGGAAATACGGACCTGGAAATGCAAAGAAGGACTCAGAGGCTTGCTCTGCCCCACTGGCCAGTCTGTTGGAATAGTGTTGATCGAACTTGTCACAAGTCTCTGCTGCGGGGGGTGCATCTGGCAGCGTAGAGCTGGCCAGACGGTTCCTGAAGGGAACTCCCCGCAGGGGAGACTTGGGCCAGAGATCACCAAACTGAGGTGCTGAGTTTCCAGTGTTTTGGTGGGAGCGTCACAAGATGTGAAATCGTGACACTCCCTCACAACTTTGGGGATGTTTGGTCTCAAATTTTTAAAGACCTGCCTGAACTTATTGATCAGGCCAAATTTCAAAGTTTTAAAATCACAAAAGGAATTAAGGGCACGTACCACAGGCCACTTTGAAAAACGATTTGGACCCGTTTTTTTTTAAAACGGAACCAAAAATCACCTCTTCCAAAAAAGTGTACCACACACGCACTTCTTCATCTTGTCTATCTCACACATCCCTTGGTCCATTCCACATCCTCTGTCAGCGCAGGTCTCTTATGTGACCTGGCGTTGATGGGTTAAAGGTCACACTATAGCTGCTAGTGTTTAACTAGCAGCCAGTGGAAATGAAACCTCGCCTCGACGCTAGAAAGCGGAGGGGTTAAGCTCCCTGTAACCGTAGGGGACGCTTGCGGTAAAGTCTTCGCAGCGCCGGGCTTAGAGTGTAGAATAGCTCTCTTCTAGATTACAGTATTGACTTTACTGTAGTCTAGGGAAGGGATAGGTGGATAAGGATAAAGGGGAAGGATAGTTAATAGATTAAATAATAACCCCACTCACAATTGTATTGTAAGGTGCACGGGTTGTATGGTAATAATCTCTGGGGGGAGGATTCTTGGGAAGAAGACCTCCCCCTTAAGTATTACAAAGGCAGGGGTCAACCTGCCTGTGAGACCGGTGAGGCCTGCAGAGGATCATTTATGTATATAATCATAAATGATCAAAATATGTATTTAAATTAAGCTTTAAACCAGAAGTGGAGGAAATGAGGTCATTCAAGCTCAAAGGAGAAAGAATGATGTCATCTCTTTAATTACAGAGTATAGAGAGATGATTAAGATTTCAAATTGTATGTATATAAAATATGAATATTAATACAGAGGTGAATACTTAAGTAATTCCGTGGAATTACTTAAAGCATAAAAATATAAAAATAAGATAATAAAAATATAAGATTACATAATTGGGATTTGAACCCAAGTGTGTTGGTGAGGCAAAGTCATAACACAGTCCTTAACCAATACACTACAGTACATGTGTTTGTTGGTTAAGTACAGGTTGTAGACACATGGGCTACAGCCTCAGTGTCTGACATTCGCCCCCACCAAAAAAAATTACTCTATGAGGAATTTTTTGACCTCTTGGAAGCTCTGAATTGTCTTAACAGAACCTGACAATTCTTAATCTTATCAACCTCCAACCACATATCTTGGTCAGGTTGACAATTCTTAAACCTAACCAAATAAAGTTTACAGTCTTTGCTTTGTTTTCTGACAATCTTCTCACCTAAAATCTTGTAAGGGACTTTGTCTGATACTTCAGTTTCTATAGGAGGAAGGATTGCATCTTGTTCAACTCGCAAAGGATTAGTTGTAGGATCAACATACTTCTTACACAAACTTATAGGAAAAGTGGGATGTCTTTGGCTAAATTCTTCTGTAAGGATCACCTCCACGGCATTCCTTCCATGGAATGCTTTGATAACAAAGGGTCCAATAAAGGCATCTTTCAATTTTCTAGGGCCAGCCAAGTTATTAAAATTTACCGTGGAAATTAAAACTTGTTCACCCACTTGTAAGTCATGGTCTTTATGAGACTTATCCCACCTCTCTTTATTATATTCAACTGCCTCCTTCACGCATGAACTTGCCTTTTCCTCAGCTTTAAACATCATTTGCTGAAAACACTCAGAACTTGGATGTAAAGTAACAGTCTTAGAAAGTAGAAAGTCCTTAGGCATACTAGGGATCCAACCTCTCTCAAGTTCAAAAGGAGCAATTTCAGTTACTGAATGTTTGCTAGAGTTGTAAGCAAATTCTAGTGCGGGCAAGAGGGACACCCAATCATGTGTATAACCATCACTTGTTTTAAAGTCTAAACCATAGGCACAATATCTTCTTATCATGTCTTCTAATGTCTGAATCATTCTCTCAGCTAACCCATCCGTTTGAGGATGATAAGCAGTTGAAAAAGCTAACTTGGTACCCAGAATTTCAAAAAGATTTTGCCAAAAATCAGAAGTAAATTTTGGATCTCTATCACTTATAATTATTCTAGGGCAACCTACATCACTTACTATGTTGTTCCAAAAAATGAGTGCTATATCCATAGCACTACTATCCTTGTAACAAGGGAGGAACCTAGCTCTTTTGGAGAATCTGTCACAAACTACTAACACTGCATTAAAATTTTCAGTTCCTGCAGGTGGTAAAGCTGTCACGAAATCCATATTGATTATTTCCCAACGAGTCTTAGGTTCTTCGATAGTTTGTAAAAGGCCAAATCTTTTGCCAGTTGCTTTGTTGGCCTTTTGGCATCTCTCACAAGAGTCACAGTACTCAGACACCTGGTTTTTCCAATCAGGCCACCAAGCTAGGTTTTGAACTCTATTCAAGGTTCTTTCTTTAGAAAAGTGGCCAGAAGTAATACTGTCATGACACTCATTCAAAATAATACCTATGTGGCTAGGATCTAACAAAACCACTGATGAGTTATGTTCACGTCTGTGATATAATAACCCATCAAGCATGACAAACCTGTCTTCTAAAAAGTGTTTTTTCCAAACACCTTCCAATCCTTCTATAAGACCTTTGTCTGCGTATGGTGACTTAAGCAATTTCTTAAGAATCACCGTGTTACTGTTAGAGTCATAACTCTTCTCAATCAGTTCCCAGAATGAAGAAGACAGGCCTGATACTGAAATAGCCATAATAGGATTGCTGTCAACAAAGTATTCTTTTTCAAAGGCTGGATTGTTTTTGTCATTAGGCAAAGCCCAATGAGCTAGACATTCAGACATCCTCATTGGAGATGGTAAGATGGAAGTAACCGGAGTTCCAGTCTCTGTCTCTTCTGCATCATAGGCAGGATTATCTGGATTATTGGGAAGAGCCCACCTTGAAAGGCCATCTGCATTCTTATGGATAATACCTTCCCTATGAACAATTGTCATAGAACCTCTCCATTCTTGGATTGCAATCTGCCACCTAAGCATGTGCCTGTTGGGTGTCTTCATATTTAACAGAGATCTTAAAGCGTTGCAATCCGTGATCACATCAAACTCACATCCATCAAGATAATAATAAAGTTTATCCAGTGCCCAAACCAAACAAAGGCATTCTAGCTGAGACGCTCCATATTTCTTTTCAGATTCTTTGAGTTGCCGTGAGATAAAACAGATGGGACCTTCCATAGGTTTGTCATCAATTATCTGTACTTGATGTAAGGCAGCTCCTATGCCTTCCATACAAGCGTCAACATAAAGTTTAAATCTTTCTTTAGGGTCAGGATGAAACAACAGAGGTGCATTAGTCAAGGCAAACTTAATGGATTCATAAGCTTGTACTCTTTCTGCTGTCATTTCAAAGACTACAGTAGGACTACATAATTTGTAAAGACTTGAAGCCATAGCCCCAAAGTCTTTGATGTGTAGTCTGTAGTAACCTGCAAAACCAAGGAACATCTGCATTTCTTTTGTATTTTGGGGTGTGGGCTTGAGTAAGACTGCAGCAACTCTATGCTTATCTATACCTAAGGATAGACCATTAACAATGTGACCTAAAGCTTTAAGTTCCTGAAAACCAAACTGGCATTTTGACAAAGATATTTTCATATTCATATTGATAATTCTCTGAAGAATAATTTCCAAGCGTGACAAATGATCTTCCCAGTTATCTGAAAAAATTATAATGTCATCTATGTATATAATAAGCCAGAGTTGATTTAACTCGTGTGAAAATTCAGTGTCCATCATACGCTGAAAATGTGAAGGGGCATTTTTGATACCAAAAGGCATTCTAAGGTACTCAAAAATACCTAAGTGACAAACAATCCTGAGGAATTGTCTACTGTCCTTGTGAATCACATTTTGATGAAACCCCTTAAGGACATCCATGCACGTAATGTACTTAGCTTTATGTAATTTAGTTAAAGATTCCATAATTTTGGGCATAGGATACCTATCTGGGTTGGTGTAACTGTTAAGAGCTCTAAAGTCACCCACTAATCTGGACTTATTATTATGCCAAGCTATAATAACTGGAGTAGTGATGTCTACATTTTCATTTGCACCTACCTTTCTAATGACTTTAAGTTTTAACAAAGCTTGAATATGTTCTTCTAAAGCCTCTCTGCTTCTGGGGCTAGCAGGGTAAGGGGCTTTCCTCAGAGCTGGAGGGTAAGGTTTATCAATATTCTGTGTCCTTTAATGCTCCAAATGGTTCTTCTACAGTAGCAAAGGCCTTCCTGTTAACAAAAAGCAATTGAAAAGTTGATCTTTTTGTGTAGAGGACACAGAAGAACTAATTTTGGAGCTGTCTTGCACTTCTTTATTAAAACAATCTTGTTCAGGTAAAGTGACGGCTACTGTGGGAGACATTTCTTGATGAAAGTAGTGCTTGTCTTTACTGTCTCCAATCTTAAAGTAACTACCTGCATCATTCATGATGGAAATTTTGAAATGACCTAAGTAATCATTGCCAATAATAAAATAATTAACAACTGCATTCTCAATTACTATAAAGTCAATCACAAAGGAGTAATCTTTAAACTTTAGGTTAACCTTGACAATACCTAAAGTGGACAATTTGTCTGAACAGCTATGAAATTTATCTTTGGATTGACCTCTAACAAATTTTTTCCAATGCGGGCAATATTTAGCCAAATATTGTTGACCCACTACTGACTTGAAAGCACCAGAATCTAAAAGTACTTTACAACTTTTTCCTGCGCAGTTCATAGCCACTACTTTGTTGCTTCCTGTAATAGAAGTAATAAAGTAATCTAGTACATTGGATTCTACACAGATAATTCCTGGGGAATCATCTCCCAATTCTAAGTCACTCTCAGAATCCATACCTGCATCCTCTTTGCAATCTTCTTCATCAATGACATTTACTTTCTTAGAATTTTTAGGGCAATTCCTGGAAGTATGACCCATTTTTTCACAAGAATAGCACTTAACATCTTGATTAGACTTAGACGTTGGATTAGTCACTTTGTCTGTAGTACTGCCGGACGCATAACTCTTGTTACTTTGTCCGTAAGGAGTTCTTCTCTTACCTATACTGGTGTAGTCAGTAATGTCTTCCAACACATTAATTAAGGATGTTAGTGTCTGATTGTCTTTCATGGCATTCTGGGCAGCAAAGCTCACTTCTCCATCCATCTGTGTCAACAATTTAAACATTAAGCTCTCATGGTTGGTTTGAGGCTCACAAGCCATAATTCTCTTGTACTGCCTAGTAACCCAATTCCCTGCTGGGGTACTACCTGGGATGAACTTATCTTTCAAATAAATGTTCAACAATTTCCTTCTCCAAGATGAGGTCCCAAACTTTTTGTTGATTGCCTTTTTCCAAAAAGACCAGGATTGATCACCGACCATATCTCTTACAGTGGAAAACCAGGGGCGGGCTGAACCTGTAAACATATACTTCAGCCTTGAGGTGATGACAATGTCTTCAATCCTGGAATCCTCTTGAATTGTGTCAATAGTTTTAATAAAGTCCACATGGTTATATTCTCCATCACCTGAAAATACAGGCCAGGCTTCCATCTTGGTTAGACCTTGTAAAATGACTTTACTTGACTCAGGGGAAATTTGGATTGGCGCCACAGGGGTTTCTCTGGGTTGAACCTCTGGAATATCAAAAAATTCACTAAGTCTGCCTGGATCAGGATCAGTACTCTTATTGTGAATTTTGAAAAATTCCTGGTTGTTGTTCAAGGAAGCATTCTGATTTGGTTTGACTTCCGGATAAGCAGAGGGAACTGTATTACTGTGTGTGGAGAAATTTGGTTCATTTCTAGAGGCAGTGGGATATGAAGTTGAAACTCCAGGGACACATTTCATCTCACTAATTTTTTCCAACAGAGCATTAAATCTTTTCTCATTATTACTTTCCATTACTAATAATTTGGAATTAATATCAGAGACAGGTTGATTTCCCAATTCAATAAGACAGTCTAACTTATCATTTACCTCTTTAAGTAATTCATGCTCAAATTTCAATTCTGAAATTTTTGCATGACAAGAACAAATATTATTACCTAAGGTTTGATTGTCATTGCTGACAGACAAAGAGGGCTTAAAGGAATCATGACATTTCTCTGGTTGTTTACCTTTGTCAATCTTGCCTATTTATCGGAGGAGGAAGAAGGGAA